TTGATGGGCCCCCCGACATTATGATAGTGGAGCATGGCTTCGAACCCGTCAATGTGGTCGACCGGGTCCGCAACTCCGTCATACTCCTTCAGATGAGGGGGCTTCTCCATGCCCGGGGGGATGGGTGTATCCATGATGGCCTGCGGCAGGGGACCGCGGGGGTCGTCCTCGTCGCTCCTCTCCGGAGAAAAAGATGGGGACCTGTAGTTTTGTCTGGCACGGTGGTCGTGCTGAGTTTCCCTCGAGCGTGATGCTCGGTGGTTGAATGTCACACGCCCGTCCCCGGCGTGCCTCTTGTCGTGCCTTGACGGGTCGCGACTGGGTTCTCCGGCAGGGATGGCGGGCTGTCTCTCATAGTTGGGCCGCCTCTGCTTTGGCCGGGGAGAGGGGCTCCTGGAGTTCTCCCTGTAGTGTCTCCGCGGGGGAGAAGGGTGTCGAACTTCTGTGACCCGAGGAGGTGGAGAATGTGGCCTCTGATGCCTCCTCGGGGGTCGTCGATCATCTTCAAGTGCCCTTAGTCTTTCTCCTTGGGCGAAGATGAGATAGTTTGTCTGATTGATGGCCGCGAACAGTGCCTGAGTCGTGGCATCTGCCCCAGCGGGAACTGGGACTTCGTGGAATCGGGCAGCTCTGTAATGAGCGAGAGCTACCGGGTCGTCCTCGAGTGGTGGTGGGAGCGGGGAGGATGATGAGGTGGCTCCATCCCTGTGCGAGGAAGTTCCGAGGACGGTGGTTGTAGGAGCGGTGTTGACGGGATTGACGACGTTGTCGAGATGCCCGTTTTTGTCCGTCGTGCCGTTATTGGTGTCGGTGATACGGACGTTCTGCTCGTCGCGAGCTGGATCAGCCATGACAGGTAGTTGAATTGAGCTTTTGTCTTTTGAGTTGTTCGTTAGACGGGGAAGCTAGTTTCCCACAGACGGCGCCACTGATCTGACCTGATCAGAAATGGACCGTCACGGCTGGCTCCGGGCAGAAAGCTTTTTGAACGAAGTGGGGGGGGGGTACCTGCAAGGCACTCCGATGCTGAAGTAAGTAGGAGTACGAGCAGATAATAGCAAGTGTATGGTTAGAATGATGAATACCTGACCCTCTGGAAATAGAGGGTATTTATAGCCCCCAGCGCTGGGCCAAGGTTCCTTCATTGGGCCGGGCAGGTTTGGCCCAATGGAGGAACTGCCAGGTTCTACGTGCGTAGTGGGGACCCGCACGTGGTCCCCTTCCTGGATGTTCTGCGTGAAGTGCGGGCGGACGGAGACGCGGTCTTTTCGGGGTATCGTTGGGGGAACAGTGGACTGAGTCTGCCCTAGTTGGGGTGCTCGAGGTAATGTCGAGCTGGACATCAGGATGTGGAGCTGGACCGCAGTATGTCGAGCTGGAGGTGTAGCTGTCGAGCATACGACTACCCGTCGGGCACGGTCGTGACTCTTTGGTCGGCGTGGTCCTTAGTAAGTCCATTTGGACTGGGCCTTAACAATGCTTTTGGGCCTGTCGGGCCCAGTCTAAAACAGAAATATAAGTTAAAAAACAAAAACAAAAAATCATTGATTTTCTATGAAAAAAATATAAGGAGATTAAAACTGTTTGAATTTAAAATAGTGATAGCAAAACTGTTTGAATTTAAAATAGAGAAATTAATATCGTAAATCGTACAAAATAGAAAATAAAAATATAATTCATCCTATTATTAATCTTCCATTTTATCATAAAAGTGAGGCATCTTAAATTTTTTTAATAGAAATCATGTGATAATTGAGCCTAGATAAACGCAAGGTAGTTTAAAAAGTTAGAAAAAAAAAGAGAAAGTGGAATATATGTATAGAGAGAGAGAGAAGAAATCAATATTTATGAGGGGTACAATTGCTCCTTCCGGCTCTTTATAATATCCGTCTATGGCAAGAGTTACTTACAATTACACATGTATGTACATGATGATCCACTTATATTAACATATAATAAGTAAATGAAAAGCTATGTAATTCTAGTCTCTTAATAAAGTATGATGAGAGTTAATTTATGATTGGAGAGAATCATATATGAAGATGAATGGAAAATAACTTTGAAAAGCAAAGATGGATTGTATGAGTGGTTGATAATGCCCTTTGGTTTGTCAAACTCCCCTAAGACTCTCATGTGGTTGATGAATCAAGTTATGCACCCATTTACTAGTTCTTTTGTATTGGTTTATTTTGATGATATTATGATTTACAATAAGACTAAGATAGTGCATCTGAAACATATGAGACAAGTGTTGCAAGTATTATTGGAGAATCAGTCGTACATTAATCTGAAAAAATGCACATTTAACACCAATAGGATACTTTTCCCAGACTTTATTGTTGGTGAAGAAGGAATTCAAGTTGATGAAAATAAGATGAGTGCCATAAGAGCGTGTCTTACACCTAAATCAATGACAGATGTTCATAGTTTTTATGGTCTGGCCACCTTCTATAGGAGGTATATTAAAGATTTCAGTATTATCACTGTACATATTAATGAATGTTTGAACACAAGGGAGTTCAATTTGGGGTTTGAGTAAGAGTGGATTTTTGCACTGACTAAGGGAAGTTATGTACAACACTATGTCACACCCTAATTTTTTTGACCTCTAATATACCACCTCCTTTGCATCATTTGCATTTTCATTTATATTTATTCATTTTTAGTCAAAGTTTTTGTCCATGATTTTTATTTCTTTTATTTCAATATTATTTTTGGATTTTAATTTTATTCTTAATTCAATTTAAAATATCTTTTTTAAGTTGAATTATTATTAAAATTGAAATCATTTTAAAAAAAACTTTTCTATTTTTAATATTTTTAATATTTTTCTTTTTTTGTTATTACTAACAATTTTTTTTTGTTATTATTATTTATTATTATTATTATTATTATTATTATTATTATTATTATTATTATTATTATTATTATTATTATTATTATTATTATTATTATTATTATTATTATTATTATTATTATATGTGTTATCTTTTATTATAATAAAATTCAAAATTTTCTTTTTTATATTCTAGAATTAACGCTTACTATTTCTTTTCTATTTTCGACTGTCATTAAAATTAAGAAAAAAATCACACGTTGAACTGAATGATTTTGATATCCATCTAATTCTTGTGCTTTCCGTTAAATTTGTATTTTGAGATGGAAATTATAGGTTGAAGTGAATAGTGATTAAAACATCAAGAAGTATCGAGAGAATGGTCCCACATTCTTGTCATTTTCATACAAGACCAAATAGATTCAAATAACACATGTTTTTTTTTTTTTTGTTAGTGTACAATAATTAATAATATTCCAATACTCCATACGTAAAACATATGTATATAACATAACTCATAACACGGCCAAAAAGCTGCATTCGTTTGAAGAAGAACAAAGCAAAAGTACAATAAAACATGAAACTGGACTATGTGTGCATATTATAAAGAGGTAGACGAATCTATAAACTATATAGTGATTCATTTGTATAGAAAATAAATCGAAAACGGTTAACTAACTCTAATGAACGAGTGTGACATTGTAGCCAACAATAGCATCACCAGTGGTCATATCAAACCAATGAGTCTTAGCAATGGCGTAACCCTTTGCCATACGAAAAAGCCCAGTGCCACCAACAACCGGCATCTCACGAACCGGGTTCATGACAGAGTTCTTCCCAACAAGAGCAAACGTGCTACCATTATACGGTCCGTCAACAAACGAGTAGCTCAGAGACATTAGAAGCCCGGGCTCCTGCTGACCCGACGAAGCGTAAATACCCTGCGCCCGGCCCACGAGCTTGGACTTCGGGTCTGATGTTTCGGTTAATGGGTCATCCGCCATCCAAATGCTTCCGAACTGGGTGACGAATGACTTGGTGTTGTCTACAGGTTCGGCTACCTTAACAGCACTTGGGTTTTTTCCACTAATCGTGTCGTGGAAATAGAACTGAAGGTTTGTTTCCGTTTCTTGGTTCTCTTTTACAAAACTCTTACCCCAATTCCCTGCTTTAAATTTCAAGCTTTGAATCCGTGATGGAAGAATAACACTCAGTACAAGCATCATCACCACCATGGCATTTTGCTTAGACATCTTATCTTTGCAGTGTTGTGTTGTGGATTTGGTTTCTTCTATGTGTGTGTGGTGTATATAAATAGAATATTTCTTGTTTGAAATTTTTTTTTTGTGTGGAGTTAGTCAATTGTGAGGTTTAACTTTTACAACAACTACAGTGATAAGTCCACTACAGCATGTTAGCTCATTTCTTTCATAGTTGTGTTACTGGGGTAGTTGAACTACTTTTAGCAACCAGACAAAGGTTTAAGTTTTTCGTACTATATCTCACTTTATTCAAGAGGTGAGAATAGGTGCAACAAGGAGATTTGGTTCTATTATGGAGTAAAATTGTAACCAGTCAAAAAAAGTTGGTGTAGTGGGGGCTTATTTTTTCATGATTGGATGCTTCTAATTGCACAACCATTAGCTGTTGTTGAAGGTGAGATAGAGGACCACAAGTATAAATATAGTGTGACATAAACAAAAATTCTAATAAAAATCTGTATTATCGGGAAGCAAAAAAAAGTGTATTAATGTCTGAAACCGACATTTGTAAATATGTTTAATTTATTTATTTTTTCAAATTATTATCAGTATTGACGTGTCAGTTTCATAAGTTTTAACACATTATATGGAGTGCAAGTATGATAGAATGTGATTTTCACATTATTCATTCAATCTTTCTAAAGGTTTACAAAACCATAACCACCTAGCAAAGGATGCAAGGTGAATGGTGGAAGAGTTAGTTACAATTATGCATAAGTAAAAGAAAAGCTATGTAACTCTAGCCTCCTAATAAACTATAGTTAATTTATGATTGGAAAGAATCAATTTTCAACATCATATCATCATTATGATTGGAAAAACTACGGTACAAGATATAATCACCACAAACCTATAATCACCACAAACCCATCAGTCAAGTAAGGTATCATCCTTAAATTTCTTCATGTGAATGAGAAGTGAGGGGGTGGCTTTCTTGCCATAGTAGCTTGCTCAAAATCATAAGCAATCTCATCAATTTTGGCTCAGTTCCCTTTAATCCACCAAAACATATCCCAAATGGCATTCCTTGGCTATCATACCCAGCTGGGACAGTGATTGCAGGATACCCTCCAATTGCAAACATTGGAGAAACATCGGTGCCTATGGCCAATAATGCATCCAATTGATTTTCTTTTATCACTCTCTCAAACCCATTTTTTGACAATTCATCCATCACCTTCAATGCCTCAATTATTTCACTTGTTTCTATGCCACTAGTCATTTCTGATGCAATGAATAAATCTTGCCCATATTCAGTAGTTTTTTCCTGTTACAAGAAAACCATAAACAAATCACACTACTAAGCTATCAAATTAAACAAAACAATATACCTATAAAAAAATACAACCCAAACAAAGACATCGAACATAACTCCGATATGACGATTCAGTTATTAAAATTAAAATTATCTACATAAATACTTACTAAAATGGGGTTGTTGGTGTTGAATTCTATAATCTCAGCTAGAGACCTCACAGGAGAATAAGTGAGCTCCTGCAGATATTTGTTGATGGACAACTTGAATTCTGAAAGTAAGATTGTCACTTCACCACTTTGGAAAGGGTCCAAAATGGTGCTTAAATTTTCTACTTCCAAATTATCCACCACTGTTGCACCTCTTTCTCTTCAATTTGCAAATAAAACAAACACAGCCTCAGCATTATTATAAATATAGTGTGATAGTGTTATGAATTACTATTGTATTTTTACCGTAACACATTGAGTTGATCTTCAAAGATAGAAGTGACATTTGATCGATCCAAAAATGGATTCCTTAAAACACCTATTATCTTTCCTTTAAGCCCTTGTTTATTGAGGAATTGTTTATAACCACCTGAAGGTATAAACTTTTCCGCTGACTTTGTAGCTTCATAATCTCTTAGGTCAAATCCAACAATTACATCAAGCATGTGAACTGCATCTGAAACTGTCCTGCATATTGGCCTGAACAAAAAACACATACATTTTACTTTATGTGAGCAACCAAAAGTGTTGCACTTCCATGACAATCCTCTCCGATGGCTGAATGGTACAGCCCAATCTCAACCACTCATTTTAGTCTAATGCATGCAATCAACAACATAAATGAATAATTCGTTTCTGTTGCACTTACCCAATAGTATCTTGACGAGGTGAAATTGGTATGACACCATCCCTGCTAGTGAGTCCAACAGTGGGCTTGATCCCGACTACTGAGTTGTGGTCAGCGGGACAAATGATGGAGCCATCAGTTTCTGTCCCCAAAGAAACTGCAACCATATTAGTTGCCACTGAAATTGCAGATCCAAAGCTAGACGCGCATGGACTTTTGGACTCCACATAAGGGTTCTGCCTAACACAAGACAACTAATCAGTTATACATCCATACATCAATTTGTGACACTTATATGACTTGTGTCGAATTAGTGTGGGAGTAAGTAAATAAAAGAGAGTGATAGTGAAGAAGAGTACTAACCAAGGCAATTCCACCTCTGGGGCACCAAGCTTGTCCTATGGTTTTGTAAGAACGAAACCCATACCACACTGGTAGACTAGTTTTTCCAAGAATAATAGCACCAGCGTCCCTCAGCTTAGAAACCACATGCGCATCACGTGGAACCTTGGACCCCAACAAGGCATACGAACCCGCCGTAGTGTTGAGTTTATCCAACGTAGCAATACTATCCTTAAGCAAAACAGGGATCCCATGAAGCAACGAACGGTCCCGATGTTGTTTTCTCTCAGAATCAGCCTTGTCCGCTTGATCACGTGCGTCCGGATTGACTTCCAATACAGCTCCAAGTGTGGGATTGAGAGCCTGGATTCTGTTTAAGTAAAAGTCAACGAGTTTTCTTGAAGTGAGGTGGTTTCTGTCGAAGGCTTCTTGTATGTCTTCAATGGTTGCTTCACTGATTACAAAACCAGAATATTCATCTACTGTTTGGCGTTTGTCTATGAATCCTTTAAATGCCACTGCAATTAATAACACCACGAGGCAAATAGAAATTACGGTTGTTTTTCCCATTTCAGAAATAGAAGCTGCACACTAGTTCTTTGCGGTTCAAATTTGAGGGAATGGGTTTAATGGTTTTGAGAATGAGAAGCAAGCAGGATGACTTTGAAAAACTGGAATGCCACAAATAGAGCAGGGATGGACATGGTCAAAACCAATTATTATAGATATTTACAAAATTAAAAACATATAATTGTATAATCAATAATAAATGCTGACACTGTATATGAAAAATATTAAAATAATGTTTTGAGCAATTATGATACATAAGTCAAATTACCTTGAGAGACATCAATTGTGTTTTCCACAATAGAATGACCAATTGATTCAGCAAAATAAAATTCATTATCCACGAGTGTACGAGCATATGTTGCAATGCGTCCAAGATCAAATTTGTGGATCGGACGGATCAGTAGAAACCAAAATAGAACCATCAACATAATCAAAATTCATTTTTCCTACCCCAAAGCCTTTATTAGGTTTCCAAATGATTGAATTATTTTCAATGAGGCAAAAAAATATAATCAAATGGCTTATATAGAAGTTACAGTGTAAGTAAACCTTTATTATTTTTACATCAAATAAGCATGGCCATTGAATCTAGAGTAATTTTAGGTACAAGACTTGCATATTTTTTTATTAATTTGCTCAAATCTTTTTGAACGAGTTATTTGGTGACATTTAATCTGAATCATCCTTTGTTGTATTGATTTGGTGATCCTTAGTTTGTGTAAAGGCCAACACAAACATACCAGCATTGGGTTTAGATTAAAGGCAAACACAAAAACAGAAAATCATGTTTAAAGGTTAATCCGACTACTTGAATGAACAATAAGTGATGTTGAAGAAAAACATTTGTATAAAGGTCATGCATGAAACATAAAATATGAGAAACCAAAACAATGTCATATGTATTGTTGATGTTGAACATTACTCGTGTATACAGAAAAAAAATTGAAGGCTAATCCAAGGACTTTAGTGAACAATAATTTAAGGTATACATCAACGATTATGATTATGTGATTATTGTACTTTCATCAATCAAAAACTATAATCACCACACACCCATAAGTTAAGTCAGGCATCATCCTTAAGTTTCTTCATGTGAATGAAAAGCGAGGGGGTGGCTTCCTTGCAGTGGTAGCTTGCTCAAAGTCATAAGCAATCTCAATCAGTTTCGGCTCCGTTCCCTTTAAACCTCCAAAACAGATTCCAAATGGCATCCCTTGGTTATCATATCCAGCTGGGACAGTGATTGCAGGATACCCTCCAATTGCAAACATCGGAGAAGCATTAGAGCCTACAGCCAACACTGCATCCAATTGATATTCTTTTATCAGCCTCTCAAACCCATTTTTCGACAATTGATCCATCATCTTCACTGCCTCAATTTCACTTTTTCCAAAGCCATTGGTCAGTTCTGATGCCATAAATAAATCTTGTCCATACTCATTAGTTTTTTCCTGTTACAAGAACAAAACCATAAACAGCTTACTGTTAAACTACAAAAATTAAACTGATCAAAATACCTATGAAGCATTGACTAAGACAGACACAAGATAATACATACATACACGTATAATAATTTGTGAAAATGAAATAGTTGAATATAACCAAACCAATTCTTAGCTTATATTAGATAATAGAATAGATCATTAAGTTTTCTATTTTGTTATTATCTTGATCCAATGGCTGTTATTTAATCTAGGCTTATGTATATATTATGCAATGGCCACTTGTACAGATTTATTTTTCATTCAATGCAACAGTGATAACTTTACTCTTTCCTTGCCTTATCATTTTCTGTTAGAATACAGTTAGAAGTTTGTTGCTTCTGTCTTCCTCCAATGGAGTTTTTCACCATTCTTGATATGGTATCAAAGCTAATCAAGCTCTGGTAGCCATCCTTCTTCTTCGTTGTTCCTATTCTCTGAGCGACGCTTGCTTTCTCTTTTGCTCGCGTATTTTCTTGAGCTTCTTCTTCTGTTTCAATGGCTTACCAGAGCTATGTAGATTTTTCTACAAATTCCGCAAATCCTTTCTACTTACATCCGAATGAAAATCCAGCACTGGTGCTTGTTTCGCCTCCACTCGACGTCAAGAACTATCATGTTTGGGCTCGATCGATGCAGATCGCGTTGATATCCAAGAACAAAGACCGATTCATTGACGGATCCCTCCCTAAACCACCGCTATCTGATCCACTCTATGCTCCTTGGATTCATGGTTCTTGCTTGGATCCAACGCTCTATTTCCGAGTCAATTGCGAAGTCGGTGTTATGGATCGACAATGCTGCTGGTGTTTGGAGGAACTTGCAAGTTAGGTTTTCTCATGGTGATATCTTTCGTATTTCAGACATCCAGGAGGAATTGTACAAATTTCGTCAAGGTACGCTCGACGTTTCTAATTACTTTACTCAGATGAAGGTTTTATGGGATGAACTTGAGAATTATCGCCCCATACCTGTTTGTACCTGTGCTATTCCATGTTCTTGCGATGCTATTGCTTCTGTTCAGCGTTATAGGGAACAAGACTATGTGCTTCGATTTTTGAAAGGTTTGAATGATAAATTCACGCATTCAAAGTCTTAGATTATGATGATGAACCCGTTGCCTAATATTGATAAGGCATTTTCTCTTGTCATTCAACAAGAAAGAGAGATGAATAGCTCTGTCTCTAATGTTTTGTCCCCTGCTAGTAACACTGATGAGGCCACAGCTTTGAATGTTCAAGCTCAGAGTAATCACAATAGTAAACCTGGCTATGGTAACTTTAAATGGAAATCTCAAGGGACTGGTCCTAAAGGTCATGCTAGGGTTTGTACTCACTGTAATAGGACCAACCATACCATAGAAACTTGTTTTCTAAAGCATGGATTTTCACCTGGATATAGAGGCAAAAGCAAGGTTCCAGGTTCTTCTAATACTTCTCAGCCAACTGCCATGGCCAATACTGCCTCTGAGAACCAATCTACAGGTTCTTCCCCTGCATCCTCTTGTGCCCTTACTCAAGAGCAATACACTCACATCATGGCCCTATTACAACAGTCACAGCTTAATTCCCATGCCAATTCCATCTCAACTTCTCCTCTTGCCTTGAATTCTCAGTCAGGCTCTAATGGTAAGAATCCTAACATTTGGATCCTTGATACTGGTGCTACTGACCATATTTGCTTTGACATTAGTCTGTTTCTTGATCATAAAAATATGTCCCTATTCCTGTAAATTTACCTAATGGCTCTCAAGTAGTTGCTTCCATAGTTGGTACTGTTGTCCTTTCTCCCTCCCTAACTCTGCATCATGTCTTGTTTATCCCTAGTTTTCATGTTAATCTTGTCTCTATTGCCAAGCTTGTTGATAGCAATAATTGCTTTGTTCAATTCCATGCTAATTCTTGTCACATTATGCAGAATCATTCCAAGGCAATGATTGGTATAGCTAATGTGCAAAGGGGACTCTATACTCTTGAGCTTGCAAGACCTAATTCTGCTTTTTCTTTTGTCAATAATACTTCTTGTAATACATGGCACTTAAGATTAGGTCATGTGCCTTACTTAGGATTACAGGAAATTTCTAAAGTTTTTCCTTTCATTAATTGTAATTCCAAATTGGATCCTTGTGACTCATGTCACTTTGCAAAGCAAAAGAAGCTTTCTTTTCCTATTAGTACTTCTGTTTCATGTGCTCCTTTTGATATTTTGCATGCTGATTTATGGGGGCCATTCTCCACTGTATCTACTCTTGGTCACAAATATTTTTTAACATTAGTAGATGATTATACAAGGTTTACATGGGTCATTTTCCTCAGCACTAAGGATCAAACTAGGGCTAGCCTCATTCAATTTGTAGCTCTCATTGAAACTCAGTTTAAAACATCTCTTAAGTGCCTTAGGTCTGACAATGGTACAGAATTCCTTACCATTGCTGATTTTCTTTTGTCTAAGGGAATTGTTCATCAAAAATCTTGTGTTGAGACTCCTCAACAGAATGGTGTAGTTGAGAGAAAACACCAACATATTCTAAATGTTGCTAGAGCCTTATATTTTCATTCCAATGTCCCCTTATCTCTCTGGAACTTCTGTGTACAACATGTTGTTCACCTTATAAATAGACTACCCACACCCCTTTTAAAATCAAAATCTCCCTATGAAATTTTGTTTAAACAACCACCTTCCATCATACACTTAAAGGTGTTTGGCTGTCTATGTTTTGTTTCTACTTTGCAAGCACATAGGACCAAATTTGATCCTAGGGCTCACAAAGCTATCTTTCTTGGTTTTAGGGATGGTACCAAGGGGTACATAGTTTACAATCTTCATAGTCATGCTATTTCTGTGTCTAGAAATGTCATCTTTTATGAAGATGTTTTTCCATTCAAACTTTCTTCTGTGTCATCCTCTCCTTCCTCTATTCCTTCTTCTGTTCTCAATGACTTTCTTGACATGCCATCACCATTTAACAATGCTATTGACCATAGCAGCACTGAGTTGACTTCACCATCTGTTCCTAGTACTTCTCCTGACAGCAGTGGTACTCCTCAATCTCCCTATAATCCTAGATCTCCTTTATCTTTTAGTCCCTCTGCTGTTACATCCCCTCACAGTCCTTCTAGTACATCTAGTCCTTCTAGTGCCACATCTTTTCCTGTGCCTTCTGACCAAAGTCAGAATCCTCATGTCTCTTCTCCTGAGTTGTCTAATCAGTCCATAGACTTCCCTACTCCTATTCCTCCTATAAGGCAGTCCAGCAGAACTTCCAATCCCCCTAGCTACTTATCTGATTATCACTGTTATTCCACTCTTACATCTCATTCTAGTCCTTCTTCCTCTAAAATTACATATCCTCTTTCTTCTGTTCTCTCTTATAAACATTGTTCTCCTGCTTACAAAAACTATTGTTTTTCTATTTCTACCAATATTGAACCCAAAACATATGCTCAGGCAATTAAGCAGGACTGTTGGAAGAATGCCATGGATGATGAGTTGAAGGCTCTTGCTAAGAATCACACTTGGACTGTAATAGATTTGCCTCATGGAAAGGTTCCCATTGGTTGTAGATGGGTTTACAGAATAAAATACAAAGCTGATGGGTCTATAGAGAGGTATAAGGCTAGGCTTGTTGCCAAGGGATATACTCAACTTGAAGGAGTTGACTATTTTGACACATTTTCTCCAGTTGCTAAGATCACCACTGTCAGAGTCTTGTTATCCATTGCTGCCATTAAGGGTTGGCACACCAATGTATCATTGTCGTGTTGGTGTTTGACACTAACGTATTTAATGTGAAATATCTGTGCTACATAGCAAAATTCTCTGTTAAAGGTTCTAACCACATGCTATTGAGTATTGACCATTCAAATTAAAAGTCTACACATACTTACTAAGATAGGGTTATTGATGTTGAATTCTATAATCTCAGCTAGAGATTTCACAGGAGAATGAATAAGCTCCTGCAAATATTTGTTGATGGACAACTTGAATTCTGGAATTAAGGTTATCATTTCACCACTTTGGAGAGGATCCAGAACAATGCTTAAATTTTCTACTTCCAAATTATCCACCACTGTTGCACCTCTTTTTCTTCAATTTGCATGTAAAACAGACACAGACTCAGTATTATTATAAATGTAATGTGATAGGGTGATAATGTTATGAATTATATTTGTATTTTTACCTCAATACATTGAGATGATTCTCAAATATGGAAATGACTTTGGATCCCTTATAAGGAATCAAAAATGGATTTCTCAAAACACCTATTTTCTTTCCTTTAAGCCCCTTTTTATTGAGGAATTGTAAATAACCACCTGAAGGTATAAACTTCGCCGCAGACTTTGTAGCTTCATAATCTCTTGGATCAAACCCAACAATTACATCAAGCACATGAACTGCATCTGAAACTGTTCTGCATATTGGTCTGCACAAAAAACACATTCCCACAATTAAAATTAACAGAAAAAACTACAATTAGAGACCCTTTAACATTTCCTTTATCTTTTTTCCATTTCAAGTTAGTCCTTTATATATAAAAACCTCAGCACTAACCCAATAGTATCTAGACGAGGTGAAACCGGTATGACACCAGCCCTGCTAGTGAGTCCAACAGTAGGCTTGATCCCGACTACCTAGTTATGATCAGCCGGACAGATAATAGAGCCATCGGTTTCTGTCCCTAATGAAACTGTAACCATATTAGTTGCCACTGAAATTGCAGATCCAAAGCTAGACCCACATGGACTTTTGAATTCCACATAAGGATTCTGCATAACACAAGTTATCATCAGTACTTATACACTCATACTACTCGGATTACTATTATAAGCAAATGTTCTCTTTTCAGAACAAATACATCAGTTATTCAATGAATATGAAAAGAAGAAAAAAAAGTCAGATTATTACAATTGCAAATCCGCCTCTGGCACACCAAGCTTCTGGCTCAGTGCTAGAACGAACACCATACCATTCAGAGAGACTAGTTTTTCCAAGAATGATAGCACCAGCGTCCCTAAGCTTAGAAACCACGTGGGCGTCACGTGGAACCTTCGATCCCAACAATGCATAGGAACCTGCCGTAGTGTTGAGTTTATCAAAGGTGGCAAAACTGTCTTTGATGAAAACAGGGATCCCATGAAGCAATGAATGGTTCTGATTTTCTCGTCTCTCGCAATCAGCCTTGTCCGCTTGATCTCGTGCGTCCGGATTAACTTCCAATACAGCAGCAAGTACAGGATTGAGGGCTTGGATTCGGTTTAAGTAAAAGTCAACGAGTTGTCTTGAAGTGAGGTCGTTTCTGTTGAAGGCTTTTTGTATTTCTTCTATGGTTGCTTCATTGATAGCAAAGTTTGACCATTCATCTATTGCATTAACGATCAACACTCTAAATGTTACTGTAAATAATAGCACTACAATGCAAACAGAAAGTTTGGTTCTTGTTGCCATTTTTTATTTTTTGTTGAAACTAAAATGGAATGGTACCTTTGTGATAACATAAAATCAATCTCTTAACTTGGGTCAACTTCTAGATAACAAGTACTCTCTCCGTCTAATAAAAAATGTTGGAAAATGATTGGTTGGGTTTATATTAAGAATAGAGTTGTGCGTTGTTTGTTTTCAATGAATGTGGAGGGATGGAAAGCTGAGAGGAAGGAAGGAAAGTTTGTTGGAAACTGGGCTTTCCTTGATTGGTTGTTCAATAAATAGAAGGAAAGATTCATTTTATGTAAATTCACTTCTAAAATCTTTTTCCTCCAATTGTGAAAAGAGTATGGGAGAAGAGCACACTTCAATATAATCTTACTCTGGAGAGAGTGAAGTAATGTAGCCATAACTTTTTGTTCTATCCTACGAGACACAATTTATACCATATTTTCCCCTTATTTTAATATAACTAAATGGATATTATGTTTGATGTCTTCTTGAGTTATGCTAGAGCACATCTTTTAACACACTCTTTATATATATATATATATATATATATATATATATATATATATATATATATATATATATATATATATATATATATATATATATATATATATATATATATATATATATATATATATATATATATATATATATAATGTATTTGTGAAAAATACAATAAGGTGGTGAGTAGTTAATGAATCTCTTGATCCTAGGGGTTAGGGGTATTTATAAGCATAGTTTATGGATCGAGTAGTTAAGCAAAGAACCTGTCTCATCCTAACTGCTTCACTAGAATGTGGGAGTATGAAGACAAGTTATCACCATTAATAGTAAGGGTTCTTTTTTCATTTGAATCACGACAATAACAACTTCTTTAGGAATACATGGGTTAGGACGTATTGACGTAGTTGCAACTTGGTGGATACAACTGGTTCGAACCAGGTGATTTATGCCTTGAGAGAAATGGGTTTGGTCGGGTGAACCACCACATTACACCCGCCTGATTCGACTAGTGGCCCTTCATATCATTCTTGGGCTAATTAGGTTAAGGGCCTCTCTCTTCCAAGATCCTACAGAATGATAATCCTAGTCCACAGTCTCTTAAACATGAGGCCTGAGAATGGTTAAGTGATTTAATCTAGGCAAAGGCAATCATTTTCTAGGTGAAAATGAAGAAATGAGTTTCTTAGAAGAGGCTCGAGGGTGAGGATTAGAAGGAGAGTCCCTTTAGCTTCAAATGTGGGAAACACGTGAAGCATTTAATGCTTTGTCATGACAAGTCTGTCTTGGAAAGGCGCAAATCTTTGGTTGTAGATGCTCTGCCTATCACTAGCAAATGCAAACCTATTGTCGGGTAACAATAGCCTACACGACCTATGCATTTGGCCTAATAAATGAGTGAATCTTAATCACTTTTTTCACTTTTCTACTCACGCTTTCTGCATTCCTCAAGTGAACTCTTTTTCTTCAGTTCTTCATCATTCAAGTTCAGCTCATCATCAACTCCTCATCATCGTCAACCCAAATACTCATATATTAAACTCTTCATTCTCATTTCTCTTCTCATTTTTTGGGGATGACGATTATTAAGGAATAAGATGAAAATAATAATGTAATGAAGCCTTATACTCACGAGGACATTACGGTGATGTGGAAACGTGAGGCGGTTGGATGGGATAATTGATTACAATCTTATTGAATTAGGAATGTTTGGCAATTATTATAGCGGTTTCGGTTATAGTAGTGATGGTGATCTCTTTTTACCCTATTCTTTCCTAAGACAAACAAGATCATTGATAACGTCTAGCTCTTTGAAACTTTGGAGAGTTGGAGATTATGAGACTATTTATATAACTAAGGAGAGGATGTTTTCCTTCCATAGCAGAATAAACTTGAATGGCTCAAGAGATGAATAAGACGTCATTATAAAACCCTGCTCCAAAGAGGAAATGGTTAAAATGGTACCCCCCTATTGAATATGAGGGAGTCAACTTCTTCTATATGGATCTCTCTGTCATTCATGACTTTGGGGGTGTTGGTCCCTTTTATAGTATTCGAGTTATATGTCCTTAGGACCATAATTCCGCCCTTTTTCAATTATCACCCAATGTATGGGCCTTTATAAGGGTGTTTAAAATATTATGTACTCACTTATAAGTCACACCTACACTGGTACTAAAACGGGGAGCAAAGATGGACAGGTGAACCTAGGCGCTCTTCCTGAGCAGGTTATTTTCACTCTCATTCAAACTACTACAAGAATTAGAAAGATACATCTGTAAGATTACGGGGGGGGGGGGGGGGGGATAATTCCTCCATAGTGATGTTTGAGGAGATCGGTGAAAACTATTTTCTTCTATATTAGACAGAGGACCCTATGCCCGTAAGTGGTTTTAATTATGACTTCTTGAGTAAGATTAAGATGGAGGTGATGATAGCAGGAATGAGATTGGTGATTATTTGAGTAAGTCTAATGTTTATTTGAATGTTGTATTTGGGATATTTACTTTTACTAACATTTCCTTTCTTTGTTCACGGAGAGGATGAATCTCATTATTGTTTCTAAAAAAATAATGATCGTCGCGCCATAAAGAAAGTTGAACGAGGCGAGAAATGGTCTTATAACCCCAAGAGTCACCATGGCAGCTTGTTAGCTAACGGAAAAAAGGAAATCACCTGAGGGGGAAACCATCATTTTTCCCAGGCCCTTCAAGAATCTCAAGCCTAATCGAATTGAATGAATGATATCTCAAACTCAAGTTCAAAAGCATAAATACACCCAACCTTGTAACCCTTTAGATTTGGACGCTAAGACACTATAGAACTTGATGGAATACCCATGAAGAGAACCACATCATTGACCCCTTTATGGTATTATGGCGTTGTCCCTCAAGAATGAGGACTTTGACGTAAAGAGCTATGTGCAAGAGCACTTTGATTTCCACACACACTTTCCCAGAGAATACCACATGGAAACTCAGTTGGGGTATGAGTAGATGTTCAATTTGATAGAAACCCATAAGCTAAAGGGGGTCATGTTAGAATGCATAATGTTTAAAATCTACAATCGGTCAGATATGTTGGTTATGGATCTCAAGACCAAGTTAAAATGTGAACTTATGTGCTTGCAGATATGAAGTTGATGATCTTATGGATAGTCTTCCTAAAGTTTTGATTAAGACAACACCATTTATTGTTGAAGTCAGTAAAATAGATGGTAATGGTTTTCCAATTCTCTGATGATGGTGACCAAACTTATGGACATGTCAAGCCTCATCTATTAGAATAATCAAGACTTTATTGAAGTGATTATATGATCAATGTATAAGGCAAATAATCTTGAAGGTGTCAAATTTCTGAAAGAGAGGAAGTTTGGAAGCTCGCTTTGTCGTGTCTTTCTGAGTGACCAGAGTTGTATAAAAGTAAGAAAGTAACTCCTCAGATACTAAGGCAACTCACACTCATACTTGAAAGCTATTTTTATCTTAAAATGTTTTCAAACCTGAGTCAAGTGCTCAATATAATGTCATCTTTATTTTTTAAGCATTTTTTAACTAACCAATTGATTAGGACATTAAAACAATCGATTGGAAGATATTTTGAACTACCCAATTCTTTGGGACCTTAAGACAGTCGATTGTAATTTTTTTTAACTAATCATGAATTTGGACCTTAAGCCAATTAATTGGAAGAAGCCTAAGTGAGTGTATAATCTATTATGATAGTGTCTTAATGATTAGAAATGAATCCTTATCAAATCTTTCCATTTTGGGTCAAGTTAATTAATTATTTAGGTCAACAAATTGATTGACACCTTATACCAATCTGTTGTGACATTAGAAATGTTTGTGGATCATTTCCTTTTTTGGTTTTTCCTTATCCTATGTAAAGGAGGGTCGACTCTTCTTAATTTCCACCAATTCCCGAATTTTTACATTTTCTTTGGAGTTTATCTCTCTATTTTTCTCCCTTTCTCTAGAAATACTTGTTTTCACTTAAAGCTGCCTTAATGCTTTTGAGTGAACACTGCCTGTGAAGAATAAATTGTTTGAGTGAGGTGCCCTTGTGATTACTTTTAAGAGTGCGATACTCTAGAAGAATATATTTTGGGTCTTGAGATTAACCAGCTTAAAAATCCATGTTTGGTTCTTGAGATTAGATGGTAAATCTCTATTTTGATTGTTATTTTAGCTTGGGTAAAAGCTTCTTGTTTTATTGGGGATAAGCCATTGTCAAGATCAGCTTGTATCAAAAGTTTCATGGGTATAATCTATAAAAGCTCAAAGTTTTAGTCAAAATATTATGAAGATCTCTTGAAGACAGAACCGAACCAACATTCGACCAAACCTGGATAACTCTCCGGTGAAATCTCTCTAACCCATACTCTCTTTATTCTCTGCTATTTATCATTTATTTTCATTTCCATTGCCATTTACTCTTAATGAAACTATTAACACGATCTTAATCGTGAAAAATATATAAGTCATCGTGAATTTTAAATACTACAATTCATCCTCCCCCTCTTGTGCATAAATTCACTTATCCAACAAGTGGCATCAGAGTATAAACCATAATCACTTGCTAGTTGTACATGAAATACTATTTATTAACAACCAACACAAACAACATCAACAACAACAATTACAACATAAAAGAACATACATATCTTAAATTTAAAAAAAAAATGTCTCTCTCATTTAAACTCATAGCATCTACAATGAAAGGATGATAAAACTGAGGAGTCAGATGCAAACTTATGTTAACAACAACATACAACAACGTAAATACCATATCGAACAAGAAGAAAATCGTATAAATATCATGTGAAACATAACAACATACACGAAGACGAGAGATTAAGGAAGAATAAGAATACCTTTATCTATGAAGAACAAGATTGACGGCTATATTGTAGAATAGGGAAGATAATGACAAAGAAGAAGAGAGAAAATGTTTTCTAGGTGTTGTACCCCAAAATTTGCCCTCCCATATTCTTCAAGAAATTGCCAAGC